ATGGTCTAGGATAAATGATATGACCGTGATGGTTATAATATTTTCAAATTTAAATAACACTAGTTTATTTTTAAAATTATAGTTACATAATAATTTATTAGATGCTTACTGTTCTAGGTATTTTACTTGCATATCCTTCAACTGTTTCAGATTGCCCTGAACTATAACCCCTCTAATCCCACATTTTACAAGTGAAGAAACTGAGGCTCAAAGAGGTTAGCTTAGTGCTAATGCTTGTAAACCACAAGGCCAAGATCTGACTCTAGCACCTAAAGTGCTTTCCAAACTGTACCACATTGTTGCTAGAAGTTTTCCATGAAGAAAAGTATTTGATTTACACTATTTTATAGCTTCTGGAATGAAACAGTCCTATAAAGTCGTTCCTCCCTTCTTAGCTCCCCTGCTTCTCTATTTTGTAGCTGTCATTTATTCAGGGGATCTCAGCTTAGATTAGTAAGCCTTGGGGCTGCATAGAATGGCTTCAGAGACTCTGTGAATACTTCTGAAATTGTTACATACATACATACATACATACACATACATATGTATATACATATATACACACTTCTGAAATAATTATATTTTTATATATGGTTAGAATTCCCTACCCAACCCCCTTATTTCAGAGATAAAAAAACTTGAGCTATAAAAAGGATGTGTTATGTATGAAGCCAGCAGAGAGGGCCCAAGTCAGAGCAGCAGAAGAGTGCTGTTACTCATCTGTGCTTTCCTCTGCCTGGGGCTGTCCCTATCCTGACTAAGGCCATGCAATCCTTTGCTCTCAGACGGCTATGTTGGTGTCTCTTTCTCTGCTCTGTGTTGTGTCTCCATTCTAGTTCATAAACCGTTAAATGGTTGTCCATTAAATCATTAGGTAGACTGACGTTAAGAATTGCACTGTGGAAAATATATATGGAAATAGTCTTCTATAGCCCATGTCTATAAATTAATTGAAATCTTCAAATAATGTTGCATACAACCTCTGAGTATGTGAGATTCTGAAGAATTTGAAGTGTACATATCAAAATTTTGAATATATATATCAGTCAAGTCAGTCTTTTCTTTATACCCAATCCTTTTAAATTTCAAGCATAATGAATAGTAATAGTTTCATGAGTGAAACTGCTACTAGCTTTTTTTTTTTAAGACTTATTTTTATTTATTTATACATACAAGGACCACGGTGTAGGCCAGAGGTGAGAGGATTTACCAGAGACCAACTGGAATAGATTCTAGTTCAAGAACACAGAGAGGAAATAAAAGGGCACATCTCCCAGTTAATTATACTCATTCTTCCTGAAATACCTTTCCTCTGACTTGTGAAACCCACACATTTTCTTAGCTTTTCTCCTACCTCCCAGGCTATACTTTCTCAGTCATCACTGTCAGGTTCTTTTGTTTCCATGGCTGAAATGTGGGAGGACTCCAGTGCTCAGCCTCAGGTGTCTTTGCTCCGCTTCACACACAGTAATCCTTCTCCAGCCTCCACCTCTTTACCGCAGGCTCATCTAGCCATATATACCTTAATTCTTATATGCATAAATAAATCTTTGAAAAAAAAATAGAGAAATCAAGAAGTTACTTTATGGCTCTCCAAACCTGCCAAGCACATTACTGCTCACAGTGTGTTTGCATCTGCGGTGCCCTCGGCCAGTGCACTTTCCACATTACCCCTCACTGCATCCACATCCCTGCCCAACTGTCCTCTCAAGGCCTTTCCTGTATCTAAAAGAGAACTCTCTTGATTGGGTTCCTATACTCCATTTTTCCTTATATAACTTTTCACTGTATGATGAGAATTTTGATTGGTGTTTCTCCTGTTAGCATATAAACTCCATAAATGTAGAGTACTCCCCACTGTAGCCCCAGTCAGTAAGGAATCAATGCTTGTTGAATGAATTAATGAGTAATATACTGGACATTAAATCTATAGGCTTTACTCATTCTCTTTCACTGAATATACAGTGATATTTTATTTTTTTATTAGTTTAAATCACTCCTTGTTTAGCTAAAACCCTTATGTCAGTTTTTTGTTTTTTTTTAATGCATGCAGAACTAGGATACAGGCCAGAGGTGCAGGTGCAGTGAGAGGATTCACCAGAGACAGAGCGGGGAGCAGAACAGGTGGATTGATGAAGTACACTGCTGAGGGGAGCAGTGGGTGAGACAGGAGAGGTCTGTTGCACCATGTGGGTCATCTCCCTGGCCCTGATCGAACTCCTGTGAAGCAACTGCAGCTAGCTTCTAGCTTCTGCCTTCCCTAGTGCTATGCTGAACCCATTGTGCCACCAGGGAGGGCCCCCATATGTCAGTTTTCATAGCAATAGAACATAAAGGAGATGGGTCCTAATACCCTAGTATTCTGATGAAATCAAGGTGCACCCACATTTTAAATCCAAAGCACACAAACTTGTTTTTCTTATGTTTTTCAATTGACATGTACTGGTGAATGGTTAAAAAAAGAAAAGGAAAGAAAAGAAAAGAAAAGAAAATATAGTACTTTGCTATATACTTTCCCTAGTGTAACGCAGAACTAGATTTGGTTTGGAAGGAGCAGACTAAAAAAAAAGTAAAACCAAGCAAGCTCACACTTTCTCATTCCTTCTTTCAGATGCCATCTCCTCTGCATGTGTGAGTACCTAGACTGGCTATTGTCTAGGCTGCTGTGTGCTGCTAAGGGCTTCCTTTGGTTGGCTTGCATTTCTGGCTCCTGGGCTACTCCTGAACCAGTGTTAATAGGAGAAAAAAAAATTTTAGTCCATAGTAATTAAAATTCTAGAAGTTGGCAAAGGTTGACTTGATGTTCTTAAATCATCTAGTCTAGTGAGTCCCAAACCAAATCACTTAACAAAATCACCTGGGCAGCTTTTTAGACATACAGGTTTCCAAGGCCCACACTAAGGGATGGGGCTCTGGTGTCTAGTGTGGTTCACTCTCTCTCTTTTCCTCCTTCCTCCCCTCTTATCATCCTCTTCTGCTAGATCTACTAGATTATATATGCTCCTAGAGATAAGTGCTACCAAGTAAACAATGACAGAAAAATAGGAGTAGAGATGTGAGGGAGGGTTTTCTGGGGAGACATTTAGCCTGCTATGGGAAGTATTGGGGGAAGAACATTTTTAAGCAAGAAATGGTGTGGTATAGTCACACAATTAAAAGTTGATCAGTGTGATTGGAGCATAGTGATTGGGGGAGAAATTGGGGTATTGTGGGAGGGAGGGCCTAGGGTTTTTCCTCCAGCACTGGTGTCTTCCTTAGAACTCTGAGCACTGTTTGAAGACTAGATTGCAGAACACAAGCAGAAACTGTGACTTGAGGCCCTTTGGTGATGAATGGGACTAAAATAGTGGCAACCAAGAGAGAGGCAGATTTGGGGTACATTTTTTTTAAAGATTTATTTATTTGTGCATACAGAACTGGGGTACAGGCCAGAGACTCAGGGGTGGTGAAAGACTTCACCAGAGACAGAATGGAGAGCAGAACAGGCAGATCGGCGAAGTACACTGCTGAGGGGAGCAGCGGGCGGGTCAGGAGAGGTCTGCCATGCCATGTGGTCACCTCCGGGGCAGGCGGGAATCGAACTCATGTGGAAGTGGCTTTAGCTTCTTAATGCAGTGCTTTAACCCGCTACACCACCAGGGAGGGCCATGGGGTGCATATTTTTAAAAGGTCAGTAGGACTTGCTAATGGGGAGCAGTTGGGGAAAGCAAGTAACATGAGTGTCACACAAAACACAATAAATTTATAGTGTTTTGTATAGCTTGTAATCCCAGGTTATTGTGGCTGTCCTAAAATGGCACAATTCCATACATAAAGCAGAGCCCAGATTATGAGACAAAGGGGTACTGAAAGAGAGATGTTTTCTCTGGACAGAATTTAAATATTAAAGAAAGTATCTTTCAGAATATAGGTGTGCTCATGTTGTACACATGCTTAGGCTGGAGTAGGCTCATGCACTACAACAGGGGACAGCATTAAGTGGCCTTCATATTGGGAGTTAGAGGTCAGGATATACCAGGAAGAGGAAAGAAAGAAAGCTAAGTAGTTATTATTCTTCCAGATTGTCAGATTTCTAGTGATACATCTTAAAAGAAGTGTTTGAAGTGCTTCTATCTGTCAGTTTCAACTAACCTAATTTTTAAATATTGCTCTTTGTACTGTGCCTTTCTCATGAACCTCTGAGAGTTTAATGCATACAATATGTGGGGGGAAATCCTATCAGCCTCAATTCCCATCCCCCTAAAGTCTGAGAAGCAGATTTTAGGTGCATATTGTTGCACCTGCAAGGATTTTGTCATTTTTATTAAATGGACCAGAGACCATGTTCAGTATGTTTGCAGGAAAAATTTCAGAAAAAAGGTGCAGCAAATGACTAGTTGGCCCCTCCTCCCAGTGTTGACCGTCTCTTTGGTTGCACCTCTATCTCAAACAGCATAGCAAGGACTGTTCTTCATTACCAGGGAATGTGAGTCATTCTCAGACTTGTGTGATTGGGATTCCAAAGCGTTGCTGTATCCGATGGTCTTATTAAATCCAAGTGTCAGTGCAGCCTTTCAGACTGTAGGGGAGAGCTCTGTTACAGCTGGTGACCTGGTTCTAGTTACCACACAGAGACACTGGCAAGAGCAGTGACCCCCTCTGAGGACCCAGAATTCCTCATGGATGGTTGTTACCAACTGTTCCCAGATTTGGGGGTTTGCTGGTTCACTTCATGGGCCTCAACACTTTTCAGCTCCCTGTTTATAGGTTACTTGGGGTCTGTGTACTTTAGGGGGAAATGTTCTAGTGTTTGTAGATAAGCCAGTACTACAACCCAGCCTAGCTTTTGTAGGGTACCTCCTTTCTGCCCTAGCTTGTTAACATCACCGTGTTCAAGGTTTAGCAAGACATTATCCATTCTCAGTTTGGTCCAAGCAAAACAAATAAAACATCAACTAGAGAGGGAGGGGACTATAGATGTTGCCAGAAAATTAGTTTGCTCTGTCTTTTCTTTCTCCTAGAATGTTTCACAGCCAATGGTGCAGATTATAGGGGAACGCAGAACTGGACGGCACTACAAGGCGGGAAGCCATGTCTGTTCTGGAACGAGACTTTTCAGCATCCATACAACACTCTGAAATACCCCAATGGGGAGGGGGGCCTGGGCGACCATAACTATTGCAGGTAAGATGGTGCTGCCCTATACTTCAGAAAATTTTTTGTCTCCTCTTCAACTCTTTCTATCCTTGCTCACAATTAAGGAAGCCTGTTTGGTTTCATTTTGGCCAACTCAGAAGGCCTTTATTGTCACTATTTTAAAAATCTTTTTTCTCATACCTCACACACATAAATACTCTGCTAGTCTTTTCAATTAGGATTGCTTTCATCCTGGTTTTTAGAGTGCTGCTACTTTCCTATCTGGTTATATACTTGTCTCTTTTGGAGGGTTTCCTTCCTTCCTTCCTCCTTTCCTTCCTTTCTTCCTCATACAAAATTGAGGGTACAAGCCAGAGGTAAGGGAGGTGAGAGGATTCACCAGAGAACAGAGCAGGAAGCAGAACAGGCAAAGATGTACTGAAATACACCGCTGAGAGGAGCAGCAGTCCGGTCAGGAGAGGTCTGCTGTGCCTTGTGGGTCAGCTCCCTGGCTGGGGATTGAACTCATGCTGCAATGGCTATGGTAACTTCCTAGTGCTGTGCTTTAAACTGTTGTGCCACCAGGGAGGGGCCATAGAGGGTTTTCATAGTTGACGTTACCACCAGGAAACAATACATAGATGGTAAATCTTCTTAAGCTTTGGGAATATAGTGGTCAAACAAAGCACCATCTGTAACCCAAAACTTCCTTTGCTTCTGAGCAAAAAGGAAGCTGCCCTGAATTATCCCATTCCTTCCAAGTCCAGGATAACCTTGCTCTGGGAGCAACTTTAGCCCAGATTTGTGTGGTTTTCTTCCTTTCAGTGGACTAGGTGTTTCTTTCCCTTCGCCTCCTATGTCACTAGTAGGAGCCCTTAACCTGAGATTCATGGTGTTTCAAATATGTACTCACAGTATTTTGGGAACATGATCCATGGCTTTAATCACATTTTCAAAGTTATTTGTGCTCCAAAACAAGAATCACTGACCTGTAAGGACAGTCAAGATTCTAAGCACTTTTGGTTATGGCTGTTTTAGCTATTCATACCCGAGTTCCTGGTAATATGAATCATTGTTTAGCAATGTGTTGCACTTAATTATTAATAGAACAGGTGCAAAGGCAGCCTCTTGGGCTACTGGAACAGGGAAAAGTGACCACTGTAGTACACTTTTAGCAATACACTCTCCTTTGTTTTACTAGTATGTTGGAATCTCAGCCATGGCACTGTTGACCCAGCTGAGCCAAGCTAGTTTTTACCCCTGTGGGTCACACTGTTTACCTTCTGCCCTCCCTGTGTACCTTTGCTTACACTCTAGGACCTTGTGGTTGTCTTGAAGTTACCAGGCCCGTAGTCCATGTTGTCTTTATCCATGTACATTCACCTTTTTCGTGCACCTCTGTCCTAAGTTGTACCAACTGGCCATTCCCCCATAGTTGCTGTTGCATTATTTTTAGTTTGTTATTCTAAAAGTGTTAAAAAGCTTTTTAAGGATTTCAGACATAGCAAATATTGTTTAAATAAAGAGCCCCCACCCCCATTTTACTTCTTTCCCCCAAATCCTTTCTACCAAGCCCCACTTTCTAGAACTAATAATTTATATACGGGCTATTCTACATTTTTCTATCTTTTATATTTTATTATTAAAGTTATATATGCTCATTAATTCTTTTATATTTTATTTAAAATTTATAAATGCCCATTAATTTCTTCCTTCACATATTAAAAAGGCTTACTCCATTCTGGTTTATTTCTTCTAGTTTTTCTATTCTATTCTATTTCTGAGTTGGATTTGGAAGAATGTTTAGGAAGAAAACCAGTGTTTGGTTTTGTTTTTGCATAATTATTTTCTTGTTCTAAAGGGTCTCTTAGAAGTAGGTTATTAGCTTATTCTCATTCTGTTGCTTTTTCAAGTCTTTTCAGAAGAGCTCCTGTGTTTTAAATCTGATTTAAAGTAAATTAAAATTTCTAGTGAAGCAATTTATATGAAAAATTTGTTTTCTCATTGATCAACACCTAGCTCTATTCAGATTACTAGAAACACAGTAAATATCCACCAAGAGAACAGTAAGAAGCAGGGCTATCTTCTTTATGGGCCCTGGCAGACTACAGTCCTTTCCTTTGATTGATGGAATGGGCCAGACCTGAGCAAATAGTTTAAACTTCAAAAAAGGGAGGCTGAAATTGGAGAATCCCTGCCTTTGTTTCTGACTGTAGCAAAGTTAAAGGTAACTTTGCTTGTCTTTATTAAGCTGTTCTGAGGCATCTCGGAATGGTTTTGACATTGATAATAAACAATTGTTTTCTAAGATCTTTACCAAATACTACCTCAAAGCTGAACACTGAGTAGAGGGAGGATAATGACAGTGAAACACTCTTTAAAGAAGGGCTTTCTACAAGTTCTCCTACTTTGATTTGCCAGCTGACACCTGACACCATGTTTGTCTTTGCACTGTTTCCAGACCCATCGTGTTTGAGATGTCTAAGAGATGGCGAGTGATGGGAACGCACTTCTCTGGATGAGACATATCTGGATTAGAGCGGGGTGGGGGGAGAGAAGAGTTGGCGCTGGCACCTGCCTTTGGGCACAAAAATAAAACAACCCTTTGTGTCTCAGGGCGGCTTATTTTCCGGGGCTGCACAATTGGCTTATCCCTTTCGGGTCTGATAGGGGTTGCTCCAAAGCTCTGGCTGCAGGGTCTTTATGCCCATTTCCGGCCTAACCGGAGTGTCAGGTTTCCAGTGTTCTGAGTCTAAATAAAGGGAGCTTGTAAAGCAGTGAAGAGAGGGCAGGCTTTTCTGTGTGTCCAGTGGCCCTTGCCATTTTTCAGTCTGTTTCAGCGGTGTTGCCCACTATTGTGATGGCATCGCTGCATTAAAGGGGCCTCAAAGAGCATTTATTCTAAGCCACTCATTTAGAAATGTGAAATCTTTAAAAAATATTGTTACATCAAAAGTAGGTGGTAGGATTATAGGATTATATATTTTAACAAACTCCTTGGCAGAGTTTTCTACAGAATTCTCTGAGAAATTGGTATTTTGAGGTAGAAATAGGATCCATTTCTATCAGATGTCCATTTCTATCCATTTCTATCAGTTGACCCACCTCATAGGTTCAGTAGCACCTATATTATGTGAGTTTTATTTTATTGCTTTAAAGTTACAAAGATTCATTGAAGAGGAAATAAGACATTAAAATAAACAGTAGTCCTATGATCCAGGAGCACTTTTAAAGGTATACATCTTTTCAAATAACAGCATTGTGTCCTCTGTCATGTTTTAAAATGGCCTTTAAATAAAAGCCTAATAAGACATGGTGACTATCTTTCCAAATTAGTACCTGTTTCTCCACATCACATTTATTTGACCAATTATTGGGTGTTTATTATTCCTAGATTTTGTATTATAGAAATTCTTGGTGAACATCCTTGTATGTGAAGATTTCCTTAGAACCAGGTACTACAGGAGACACTGCTGAGTAGAGGGTTATGCTAATGTTAGGGCCTTTGATGCTAATTACCAAACTGCTGTCCCAACCTTGTGTGTCCATTCACGTTGTCCCTATAGTGTTGTGGCACCTGTGTGCGCCCTGTGTTCTCTCAGCCATGGGAATTGCTGTGTTCCCAAACATGCCTTGTGCTGTTCAGCATGATTTCTTCACTGGTCATTTGTCCCAGTTACACTGTATTGAGTTTGTATAAACAAGGATCACTTTTGCTCATACCCTCCCCACCTGTTTTTATAGGTTACCATAATTTTTCTTCATAGGAGTTGGCACTGAGATACATTCCAAAGATAAGAAATAATGAAGCTATGAAAATATTCGTTTTTGGTAATGCTGAAAAACAGTGAGTCAGGTGACTTAAACAATGGAAATGGAAACATTACCGGATGTGTCCTTTTCCCCAACAGAAACCCAGATGGAGATGTGAGCCCCTGGTGCTACGTGGCAGAGCACGAAGACGGAGTCTACTGGAAGTACTGTGAGATACCCGCTTGCCAGAGTAAGTCCCAGATGCACCTCCTGCCAGTTAGGACACTTCCCACTAAGAGGCAGAATGGGAGGCCACAGCTACGGCAGGTAGTTGAAGTAGGTACTTTCATGAAGCAGGTGAAAAGAGAAGCCATTCTGGGCCGAGGATTTTCATTTTTCCTTATTGAAGTTTTCAGAAATGGGATGCCCAGTACTCTCAGCATCCCACCCTCTGGGTGGGTAAGCCAGTCAGAATTTCTGCTTTTTTTGGATCTCCTCAACCTTAATTGCCTTAGAGATGGCAACAGCTCAGTAGCAGGTTAGAATAATAATTTTTGGAATTAATTTTTTAGAATGAATGAATAATAATTTTTGGAATTAATTTTTTAGAATGAATGAAGAACACCGTAATAGACAATAAAATTAAGTTATAACACTGCTTATTATTTCCATTTGACATGATGTGTCAACAGAAAAAATCATTTTTGGTAAATATCTAATTAGATTCCCTCCAAAGCCAATGTGATGGTCGTTTTTCTCACATTAACATAGAACACACACACACACATGTAAAGAAATATGTATATATATATTTACCACTTACAACTTGTCCTCTCCCTACTAAAAGCCTTTTTCAGCCTTTTACTGCAAAGTCTGTTTTCTGTTTCATTCATTCATTCATTCATTCATTCATTCATTCCTATGTTCAAAACCAAAACTGAATAGAGCCCTTTTACTAATGTAGTTTTTGTAATGTCTTTAAATTTGCTGAAGGGGCAGTTTTGTAATCCTAGAGCTGAAGAAAAGGACAGTTCACTCATATTATACCTGGCTATTTTTCCCTTTTTTTTTTTAAAGATTTATTTATTTGTGCATACAGAACTGGGGTACAGGCCAGAGGCTCAGGGGCAGTGAGAGGCTTCACCAGAGACAGAGTGGGGAGCAGAACAGGCAGATCGAGGAAGTACACTGCTGAGGGGAGCAGCGGGCGGGTCAGGAGAGGTCTGCCACGCCATGTGGTCTCCTCCGGGGCAGGCGGGAATCGAACTCATGCGGAAGCGGCTTTAGATTCTCAGTGTTGTGCTTTAACCCGCTGCGCCACCAGGGAGGGCCTTTTTCCCTTATTTTTTAAAACCTCCTTGCTCTCTCACCTTTCTCTCCTCAGTTCAGGAGGCTATGTATGTAGAGTGATGTGGGGGCTTATGTGGGACCTGGTTCCCTCACTTGGGGCCGTTAGAGAGGCTAAAGTCTGATACCTCCAGCCTTTAACACTGGACTACAGGTGCAGTGCTCACCTTTCGTGTGTCACCTCTACCTGACAGGCTCTGGCCTCCACTATCCTTCTAGCCTGAGTGTGTGCCTTGTTCAGTCCTAAAATTGAGAAAATAGTAAAGACTGGAAAACAGGCTTTTGCTTGATCTGCTTAATCAAAATTTAAAATGAAAAAATTCTCATTTGGCTCTCGTTATGTAAAGAACAAAGGGGCAGGGGGGAGAGGAAAGCAGATTTTTCTCGGTCCATTTGTTTTACACAAAGATAGTCTTTTAGTAACAGCCTATGTCACTCTCTCAGGAATAGTAAAGGGGGGATTTCAATCTGGGCACTTTTATATGGAAAGATAATCCTCAACTTGCATTTATAAAATACAATTTGGGCCAATGGAAGCTGACTCATGTAGTCATTTAAACCAAGTTATAGCAAAATGGTACAAACCACCTAGTACCTCTAATTCCTAATATTTGTCAGATGTGCATCATTATTCCCAGAAAAAATTAGATATCACTCCTTTTCTTATGACTCTGATAACTCTCAGAAAGATTCAACAACTGGTCTTGAAATGGTCTGGATAGAGAAACTTACAGATATTGGGAATGAGAACTGGGAATACCTAGATTAAAGGTGTGGAGTGAGTAGTTTTGGTTGTTTAGAAAACCTTCCTGTTTGCTTTGTGGGCCTCAGATCTTAACTCTATCAGAAGATTGTGCTTCTAGTGTGTCTGGAGTCCTGAAAATCTCTTGTGCTATTTACAGCAAGAGTCCTTAGTAATTGCATGATAGACTCGACTGAGGTTCACCCTGCCTGTTTTATGGTAGTTTTGCCCTATTTCTGGATGTACAGTCAGAATCATGAATAGCCTGAATCTTTTGTAAAGCTCACTTATTCATGATTAGCATTGAATATGTCATACAGGAAAAGGCCTGTGACATGATCAGATTCCTGGAAAGTTCACATCTGAATATAACAGACCCAGCAGGAGACAGGGGGGACTGACTGTTTAAGGACAAAGCAGAATGTGGTTGAATGGTGGGCCATTCTGTGGAAACCGGAATCTCTGCCCCTTGGCATGTTATGTAGAGAGCTAAAACAAGCAGGGATGCAGAGATGAAGTATAATTCAAAAAGAGGGCAAAGAGAAGGTTGAACTATGCTCTTGACCTATGGAGTACAGATCAGAACTTACTGTTAAACAGAAAACAACTTGAAGTAATTAGATTTGCTCTTCAAACCATTTCTCACGCAAGTTCTTTTTGTAGATAGAAGAAATGCAGATTTTTTTAAAGCAAATTACAATATAATCAAAATTCCCACCCCCCTAAATCTTACTTCTAAATCTATAGCTCATGTTGTTTTGGCTTTTGAGGGAAATATCATTTGACTTAACAACTTTTGCTTATGTCTCTTCTGTTAAATAATTATTGTTACCATTCTAATTCCCATTTATTTCATTGCTTTTGAGGGACACTCTTGTATGGACTTCAACTTGGGCTTTTCTTTGATCTTTTTTACTTACAGATTTTTTATAAAAGTTTTGTATGGTTTTTAAAAGTTAGTAGTCTAGTTGTGAAAGGAGTTGTTCCTATAAATGGCATTTAAAGCCAAATATAATTTCTTCACATAACTAGTTTGGGCTTGAGGTCCCAAGCATGAGAAATTTAGTTTCCTAACTTAGAGTACTGTGAGCCACCTGATTTCTACAGACCAACTACAAAAATTCATCTTTGAATCTTTGAAATAGGGATATTTGAATATTAGTTTATATTAAGGAGTCAATTTTAATTTTATTAGATACAATAAAGGCATGGTAGTTGCATATTTATTAAATATTAAATACATATATTTATTTAAAGTACTTAAATATAAACATTTCTTAAATATTTATACATATATACATTTTTAAAAGTTCTTTTAAATCATAGACGCACACTGAAATAGTTGTGATTGAAATTATATTTTATCTGGGATTTTATTTTAAATGATCTAGCCTACTATAGAGTAAATGGGTGGGATTGAGGGAAACAGAAGAAACAAGAAGAGTGAAAATAAACAGATATATGGGTATGTATGGATGCTGGTTGGTTGGCTCATTATTCTTTACTACTTTTGTGCATTTGAAAGTTTCCATTGTAAATACATTTTTTTAAAAGATTTATGTGTTTGTGCATACAGAACTGGGGTACAGGCCAGAGGCTTAGGGGCAATGAGAGGCTTCACCAGAGACAGAGTGGGGAACAGAACAGGAAGATCAACGAAGTACACTGCTGAGGGGAGCAGCAGGCGGGTCAGGAGAGGTCTGCCACACCATGTGGTCACCTCCGGGGCAGGTGGGAATCGAACTCATGTGGAAACGGCTTTAGATTCTCAGTGCTGTGCTTTAACCCGCTGCGCCACCAGGGAGGGCCCCACCTTGATTTTCTTAAAACACATTTGTAGTTTGGCCTCCCTGGTGGTGCAGGGGGTTGAGTCTCAGCACTATGAAGCTATTGCCATGAGTTAGCTGTGCAGCCGGGGAAACAATATTTGAAAGCTACTATATGCAATCCCTAATAAGAGTTTTTAAAGCTTTGTTCAGCATTTGAGTCAACGGCATTTTGGTAGTGGTGGTCAAAATGATCTCTTAATTGTAGAAAATGTTTTGTTTTTTTTTTTTCCTTTCAGAACTTTATTTTAGTGTTAGCAATGATTTTTTAGCATGTTTTACTTTTTCAGTTAATACTGAGTACATATTATGTACAAAGCTCTCATATTTACATTCTTATTTATTTATTAACCTTTTCAAGTCATATGAAGCAGGTGACATATGTACTCCTTCTCCACAGTGACTCAGATGAAAATATGAGACATAAGCAGTTAAGTGATTTGATGAGGATTATACTCTGAGCCAAACAGGATCTGAATCTAGGACTCCTAATGGCAAGACTAATGCCTTTTTCTTCTAGTACTTGAGAACTGCCCCGTTTCCTTTATTTCCTTGAAAACAGGGGCACTGGGATGGATCCAGGCCACTGTTGAGGTCATTTTTGAGAATTTTCTTTGTGGATTGTTTGGGAATTAGAGTTTGAAATTCTGATAGATTGCCTTCTTGATATTGTGGAAACCAGAGGATTAGCTCAGTGGCGACAGAGGGTCTGCAGTTCAAGCTGTTAGCTCTAAGTCATTTTCTTTTCTTCTTTGGGTTTGGGAAATCCCAGGCCCCCGGAGTAAAACAGGCACGATGGTATCCAGGAAGCATTTGTTGCGGAGCAGAGCCCCTCTGGAGAATGTTGGGCTGACTCTGCGGGTGTTCCAGCCCAGCTGTTCTCAGCTGGGAAGGGTCTCCCCAGAGTTGGGCTCTTTTCCACCAAACACTGCCTTAGCAGTTTTGTCCAGGCTTCAGGCTGAAGTTCACATTAAAAAAGACATATCTCTATGTAGCATCCCTAAATGCTAAAATGACACACCAAAGGTTAGCCAGTAGCCAAATCAATATTGAAATGAATGTAAATAGTATAAACTATGCAGCCTTTTTTTTTGTCTTTCTAGTACATTTACTTAGCAGCTTTGTCTAATTGGACCCTTTTAGATTACCCAAATTAGCCTAATAAGAATCTTGTTTTGTATTAATTCTCACTTTATATATGTAGTTTTGTTTTCCCAACTAGACTCAGCTTTTCAAAGATAAGAGCAGGGGCAGCTCTGGAATTAATTGTGAAGGTGAAGCTTAATTTACCAAGTGGGTACCAAGTATTTCTCTCTTTGTTTATTTAAAGATTTA